AGAACCGTTAAATTAGGGGCCCCAGAAACGTTAAATTAGGGCCCCAGAAATTTTTTGGGTCCGGGGGCAGGGCACCCGAATTGTTACTGAGGGCCACAGAAAATTGTTAACTGAGGGCCACAGAATACTGTTAATTAGGGCACGAGAATTGTTACTGCTACAGACACAGAATTGTTACTACAGGGGACACAGGAATTGTTATCTAGGGAGGGGACACTATAATCGTTTAAGTAAAGAGGTAGATGCGTCAGACAACTTTGCAGATGGCAGCGCAGGCAGGAGGAACGGCACATGTTATTAGGATTCGAGCAGGTACGTATGGCGAGGCCAGAAGGCACGGAAGGTGGTTCTGATGGCAGCTCACTGGATCGCGAGACCAGAGGAGCCAGTTGCTCCGATTGGTGTCGATCCAGCGGAGATCCGTGTCCCTCCCACCTTGACGCAACCCTGCCCGTCATCGATTGGTTTTTCGGGCGTTCAGTCCATCCTCTCCCAGTATCACCTCTGACACCTATCATCCAACGGTCGGTGTATAACGGTCAAGACACACCCGTTTAGTTGGCTTTGGCCCGGGAGCAATGCCCACTATGACAATCGGACACGTGTCCTCCTACCTGCCCTGACATTATGGTAGCTTCCTCACGAACCAAGCGATAGTAACTCTGCAATGCTGTGGGCTTCAAGCCCCACATGTAACAGTGTGGAAGAGCTAACAGAGGGCGTGTCAGGAACTGGGGGGAAGACATCCGCCTTTTCAGCAGTCCAGGCTCAAGAGAAGTACTGGCGAGGAGAGTGGCTCGGGTAGCGCGTTCTAGACAGACAGGTCTGTCATCCTGACCCAGACGCAGCCGAGGGTGCTAGTAGTAGTGAGGCGGAGACCCTACTTGATGATGAGGAGGAGTTGATCGCACTTGGCAGCCTCGTCGTCATCAGGTAATTTCTTCCGCATCATCAGGAGAAGAGGGTGCCAGCTTGGCAGCGAGCGAAACAGTCGGGTGGGTTGCCCAGGAGGCAGCAGCAGGGTCGCAGCAGTGTCAGTGGAGCCAAACGGCCACGGAGTAGAGCACCAGCTCCACTGCAGCCTACCACCACGGCCAGTAGTGGTGCCGGTGCGCTGCACGGAGGAAGTAGCAGTCAGCCAGTGAGGACAGTAGCGGGGGCAAAGTTTCCTACTCGGAGGTGTGGCAATTTTTCGTCAAGCCGCCCCCGAGGGAAGTAAACGTAGCCCGTATGTCGACTATGTAGGCCAGAAAGTCAAGCGTGGCCAGGGGGCCCATGTTGGGACTACAGCGTTGCGTCAGCATATGCAGCGTCGCCATTCGGTGGCCTGGGAAAACCGTGATAAAGATACGGCGGTTTCTGCCTGTCCCCCAGCCCCCTGCTCCATCACCCCGCACCCCATTTACTTGCTCCGTCACCCCGACCGTCAATCGCCCTCTATCAGCCAGTCAAGGCTCCAACACCTCTGCTGAGGGGAGTTGTCGCTCGTTGGCATCTTCCGCTCGTTCAGATGCTCCTTCTCCTGCTACTCCTCTTCTCGGATTCCGTCAGCAGTCTTTCTTGGAATCCGTTTCCAAGAGACAACAGTTTGCGAGCACGCACCCGACGGTGCAAAAGCTGAAACGTCCTCCTGTCCAAGTTGCTGGTGCTGCAGTCCTCCCTTTCCAACTGGTGGACTCAGCACCTTTCCGAGAAATGATGGCTTGTGCCGCGCGCCGCGGTGGAGAGTGCCAAGCCGTCATTTCTTCGCCAAAAAAGGCCAGTGCCAGCCCTGCATTCACATGTAGAAGAGATGGTGGGCCAGTCTTTGAGCATGTCGGTCTCTGCCCAAAGTGCACGGCAGCGCCGACGTGTGGAGCTGTAACTACGGTCAGGTCTCCGCGCAAACTGAAAATCGGAACCATGTTGACCGACAACGGAAAGAACATGGTGTCTGCTCTGCGTCAAGGAAGGTTGTGCCATGCGCCATGCATGGCTCACGTGTTCAATCTGGTTGTCAAGCGGTTCCTAAAATCCACCATCCCACTGCAAGACATCCTTAAAATGTCACGTAAACTTTGCATGCATTTCAGCCATTCCTACACCGCAAAGCACACCCTCCTTGAGCTGCAGCGGCAGAACGGAATTCCACAGCATCGCCTGATCTGCGACGTTGCAACAAGGTGGAATTCAACCCTACACATGTTAGACCGCCTTTACGAGCAGCGAAAGGCCATCACCGATTTCCTGATGTTACAAGCGGATAAAGGTACTCCCCTGTGTAACTTAGATGTCAGCCATTGGCAGCTCATGCGTGACACCTGCCGCTTGCTCAGGCCCTTTGAGGAGGCCACGCTATTCGTGAGTCGGCAGGACTATGGGATGAACGACGTCATTCCTCTGTTGCACGTCCTGGAACAAATGCTGTTAACAATGGCTGGTCAGGGTGCGGTAGACGTGGCGCACAGATCTCAACGCCACATGACCCCTGTGGGGGCAGGACAGGAAGAAGAGGAGGAGGTAGAGGAGGACATTGGTGCTCAGGAATTATTGAGTGAAATGGGTGGTTTTTCCACTCAGCGGACAGGAGTGGAGGAGCAGGAGCATCTGGTAGGAGGAGGAGGAGGAGACAGAGGACCCAGACGCACCGTGGCAGTATGCTGTGGAGATGGAGGCAGGGAGTCCCTCGCATTCCTTGGCACAAATGGCCCATAGCATGCTCGGTTGCTTGCGTAGCGACAGCCGAATAATAACCATCAGACAGAGGGATGACTTTTGGCTGTCCACCTTGTTGGACCCTCGCTACCGTTCCAAAATGGTGGCCTTTTTCACACCTGCTGAGAGGGAGGCCAAAATTACGTACTATAAAAACCACCTATGTAGTCAGTTGGTCTCTGCCTTTGTGCGCCAACGTCCATCCTCAGACACTGTGGGCCCTGTGCGCTCGCGTTCCGCTGCCATGGCAGCAGGGGAGGGGTGGGGTGGTAGGAGCAGTGGCAGCTCCACCAGCAGCGGCTGCCTCAGTCTGCAGTCGATGATGAGTAGCTTTCTTCACCAGCGCAGTGAGGAAACTACTAACCAGCCAGCAGCAGCAGCAGCAGCAGCATCAGGTGGACCTGGAGCAGGAGCTCAAACAACAGGCTTGGGCCTACTTGGACAGCACCCTGCCAACCGAGGTAGACAATCCCCTTGACTACTGGGCAACGAAACTTGACCTTTGGCCCCAACTAGCTGAATTTGCCCTTGAAAGGCTGTCATGCCCGGCCAGTAGCGTGGCATCGGAGCGCGTGTTTAGTGCGGCAGGAGGTATTGTAACTCCGCGGAGGACACGACTGTCCACCCAAAGTGTGGAGAGACTCACGTTTGTGAAAATGAATCAGGCGTGGATTAGTCTGGATTTCAAACCACCAGTTCCTGACACAACTGACTAAATCCGCCATGAATCATGCCCCCAAACATGTGCCACTTTCAGGTCTCCGCACACTGCTGCTGGTGTGTGTTTCATTTTGTCATAGGGTGCTGGCAGATTACAGGCCTCCCATAGCTGCTGCCAGGCCCCTAATCTGCCATGGGCCCCTGTACCGCCTCCTCACGCTGCTGCAAGGTCCACAGTGTGTCATGCCATGTGCCACTTTCAGGTCTCCTCACACTGCTGGTGTGTTTCATTTTGTCATAGGGTGCTGGCAGATTACGGGCCTCACATTGCTGCGGCCAGGCCCCTAATCTGCCATGGGCCCCTGTACCGCCTCCTCACGCTGCTGCAAGGTCCACAGTGTGTCATGCCATGTGCCACTTTCAGGTCTCCTCACACTGCTGGTGTGTTTCATTTTGTCATAGGGTGCTGGCAGATTACGGGCCTCACATTGCTGCGGCCTGGCCCCTAATCTGCCATGGGCCCCTGTACCGCCTCCTCACGCTGCAAGGTCCACAGTGTGTCATGCCATGTGCCACTTTCAGGTCTCCTCACACTGCTGGTGTGTTTCATTTTGTCATAGGGTGCTGGCAGATTACGGGCCTCACATTGCTGCGGCCAGGCCCCTAATCTGCCATGGGCCCCTGTACCGCCTCCTCACGCTGCTGCCAGGTCCACAGTGTGTCATGGGTCCCTGTACCGCCTCCCATTGCTGCTATCTCCAACGCCACACTCTGCCATGTGCCACTATCAGGTCTCCTCACACTGCTGCTGGGTTCCATTTTGTCATAGGATGCTGGCAGATTACGGGCCTCACATTGCTGCTGCCAGGCCGCAAATCTGCCATGGGCCCCCGTACCGCCTGGTCACGCTGCTGCTGGGTCCACAGTGTGTCATGGGTCCCTGTACCGCCTCCCATTGCTCCCACTCTGCCATGTGCCACTTTGAGGTCTCCTCACACTCCTGCGGTTTTCCATTTTGTCATAGGTTGCTGGCAGATTACAGGCCTCCCATAGGTGCTGCCAGGCCCCAAATCTGCCATGGGCCCCCGTACCCGCCTGGTCACGCTGCTGCTGGGCCCACAGTGTGACCTGGGTCCCTGTACCGCCTCCCATTGCTCCCACTCTGCCATGTGCCACTTTGAGGTCTCCTCACACTCCTGCGGTTTTCCATTTTGTCATAGGTTGCTGGCAGATTACAGGCCTCCCATAGGTGCCGCCAGGCCCCAAATCTGCCATGGGCCCCCGTACCGCCTGGTCACGCTGCTGCTGGCCCACAGTGTGACCTGGGTCCCTGTACCGCCTCCCATTGCTCCCACTCTGCCATGTGCCACTTTGAGGTCTCCTCACACTCCTGCGGTTTTCCATTTTGTCATAGGTTGCTGGCAGATTACAGGCCTCCCATAGGTGCCGCCAGGCCCCAAATCTGCCATGGGCCCCCGTACCGCCTGGTCACACGCTGCTGCTGGGCCCACAGTGTGACCTGGGTCCCTGTACCGCCTCCCATTGCTCCCACTCTGCCATGTGCCACTTTGAGGTCTCCTCACACTCCTGCGGTTTTCCATTTTGTCATAGGTTGCTGGCAGATTACAGGCCTCCCATAGGTGCCGCCAGGCCCCAAATCTGCCATGGGCCCCCGTACCGCCTGGTCACGCTGCTGCTGGGCCCACAGTGTGACCTGGGTCCCTGTACCGCCTCCCCATTGCTCCCACTCTGCCATGTGCCACTTTGAGGTCTCCTCACACTCCTGCGGTTTTCCATTTTGTCATAGGTTGCTGGCAGATTACAGGCCTCCCATAGGTGCCGCCAGGCCCCAAATCTGCCATGGGCCCCCGTACCGCCTGGTCACGCTGCTGCTGGGCCCACAGTGTGACCTGGGTCCCTGTACCGCCTCCCATTGCTCCCACTCTGCCATGTGCCACTTTGAGGTCTCCTCACACTCCTGCGGTTTTCCATTTTGTCATAGGTTGCTGGCAGATTACAGGCCTCCCATAGGTGCTGCCAGGCCCCAAATCTGCCATGGTCCCCCGTACCGCCTGGTCACGCTGCTGCTGGGCCCACAGTGTGACTGGGTCCCTGTACGCCTCCAAACACTGGTGCCACATAGGTTTTGCTCCCACTCTGGCCCCGTGACTGGCCCAATGAGTGAAGTGTGCGGTGATAGGTTCTAAGATCGACGGCACTCATCTGCATGTCATACCGCCTCCCTGACTGACAGTATTTTTCTTTTCATAGGTTGCTGTATGGCCTCCCATTGCTGCTGCCTCCACCGCCACACTGTGGCTCCAAACACTGGTTTTGGCCCCGTGACTGGCCAAATGAGTGAAGTGTGCGGTGATTCTAAGATCGACGGCACTCATCTGCATGTCATACTGACTGACTAATATTTCTCTTCCCCAGCAGACTCCAAGGGCATTTAAATTAAAGGTACAGTGTTCTGCACTAATATTAAGTCTTTTGAAGCCTAGAAACACCCTTTTTTAAGTTAAATTCACAGCGAATATATTCCACTCGAATCGAATATTTTCCACGAATTCGCCGAATCAGTCGAATCAAATTTTTGAATACTTCGCTCATCTCTAATCACCACGGCAACCCAACTTCAGTAACGGCGAGTATAGACAGTGTGTGTAGACACACGGAGGAAGCCTGTCACATCCGCATTTAGCGGTTTTATCTATTACAAAGCGCATTGAAATTATTGACATGTGAGTGCATATAGAGGGCATTAAATAAATCTTTTTATTAAAACGATAAGGCACCAAATATCTCTTCTTTCTTCCACTATACTAACGAGGAGAAAAATAGGGAGATGGAGCCACATCCAGCATCAGAAGGAAGCAGAGATCATCATGTCCATACAAGCACATTAGAAGTGACCAATCCAGGAAAACCCAGGGGAGGTCCAAAGGATCTCATCAATACAAACCTCTTAAAAGCTGTGTCAGCCCAGCAATAGGCGAACAAGAAGGTGAGCCCATAAAAGGGTCAATATTCAAGCAAGGATTTATTTCTACAGTTCCTTATATACAGCAATTACTATTGTGGACACGAATAGAATACTCCGCTATTATTCATAGACTTTGGACACCATTTCATTTTTACATTCTTTTTCATCTTTTCATTTTCAAAATTTTGTGATTATATATTTCATTTATATTTTTTATTTTTATTTATTTTTTTTGTTATTTATTTTTTATATATTTTTCTATTATGCATAATTATTTTTTTATTTCTTATTTAAAAAAAAAAAAAAAAATTCACACTTAAATATCCAGAAAATCTTTTTGCTGTACTTTATAAGGATTTCTCTTATATTTTCATATGTGAATTATTCATGATAAAATCAGGCCAGTGTTTATTAATAACAATCTAATATATAATTTATATAGATATACCTTATTGTAGGGGCGGGGCCCTATCTATTAACTTACATTTTATCATCCTACTATTCCTGATATGAGTTTGTAGTCCCTGCTACTACAGGAAACATGCGGGCGATCATTTACACCTTTTACAGCAGGACAGTAAATATCAGAACACAATTCAAACATCAGACCAACAGCAGGAAGTCTGCTAACTGAATGTGTAATGCAATCTGTCATTAGCATTCCCAGAGTTCCCTCTGCAACATAGTTGTATCAGCTGTTGGTCCTGTCTGTACATCTGTTATTTTCCCACCTTCTGTAACAGGGAGAAGAAGTTTTCTTTACAAACTTTCCACCAAAAAGAGATGTGTGCACTCAGAGTGATTATTGTGAACCCCAATCAGAGGAATGTCAGTCCCCCGGAAGAAGTGGTAGGAATATGACCGCACACTCAGCACTTTGTAAGTTCAGATCTCTGGCAGTTGTATTGTGTGATTAGTCTATGGAGAGGAGTAATAGCTGGAAAGAGAAAACATGTAACAAGGATTTCTGATCTTCACCTGATGGAATCCCATTTGGCAGAACCACATGGAACACAAGTGGCCAGCTGGGCTTACGTTTTACTGCTGAATACATCCCCTAAATCAGCAGTAACTCAGTATTGGAAGGCCTGCATCAGCTTGGGATCTTGTTTTCTCACTGAACAGAGACTTCTTTCTAGCTGGTGTCACAGCCGCAGACCTGCCTGAAAGGTTGTCACCCATGAGAGGATATCCTACAACCTCACAAACACCCCCTTTCCTCTCTATGATCACAGTCTCATCACCTTCAGTCTCCTCATCTTCAAACACTTATCCCTCCAAGCAGCAATCACCTGCAGAAACCTTCACAACTTGAACCCTTCTCCCTTCCACTCTGCAACTGGCCAACTCTATGACAGAATCTCTCCCCTGTCCTGGCCACTGCTGTCTACAACAGTTCACTTTCATCCACATTAGACTCACTTTCTCCTCTGACCACACGAAGCATCAGGCCCCGACCATTAAAACCTTGGCAGACTGACAACACCAGAGATCTTAAACGACATAGTCGTGTGCTGGAGCGAATGTGGCGTAAAACCAAATCTCACCAAGCATTCACCCGATAAATCTGCTTTCTTAACATACAATTCCTCCCTCCATGCTGCCAAACAAGCCTACTTTGTCACTCTCATCAATAGCTTGTCATCCAGTCCTCGTCGTCTCTTCTCTACTTCTAACTCTCAACTTTCTCCACCTCCACCCAGTACCTCACTCACTGCTCACGAGATTGCAAATCATTTCAAAAACAAGATTGATGCAATTCATAGGGACATCTTCACTGCACAGACATCCATCCCACTTAGCATACCTTATACTAAACCTCCCTCAACACTTTCCTCTTTTGACCTTCCTACTACCGAAGAGGTCACTAAGGTTTCTTAGAAGCCCGTCTCACTACCTGCCTCCTGGATCCTGTCCCCTCACAACTACTACGGTCACCCTCCCCCTCCATCCTATGCTCCGTCACTCACATCTTCAATCTCTCCCTCTTTACTGGTGCCTTCCCCTCCCCTCTAAAGCATGCGCACATCACTCCCATACTTAACAAGCCCCTCCCTGGACCCCACCAACCTGAACAACTTAAGACCTATCTCCCTGCTCTCATTTACATCTAAACTCTTAGAACACTTAGTCTACAATCGCCTGAGCTCCTCCCATCTCACTGACAACAACCTTCTTGACCCTTTACAGTCTGGCTTTCGGTCACTACACTCCACTGAAACTGCCCTACTAAAACTCACTAATGATCTACTAACTGCTAAACCAATGGCTACTGCTCCGTACTCATCCCAACCAATGGCCACTACTCCGTACTCATCCCAACCAATGGCCTACTCCGTACTCTCCGTACTCATCCCAACCAATGGCCACTCACTGCTCCTTACTCTTACCACTTGACCTCTCTGCAGCTTTTGATACGGTTGACCATCCCTTCCTCCTCAAAAAACTCCACTCTCTTGGTCTCCAAGACTCCGCTCTCTCCTGGTTCTTTTCCTACCTATCACAGAGCTCATTCAGCATTACCTTTAACTCCTCTTCACTCTTCCCTCTTTCTGTAGGGGTCCCTCAAGGTTCTGTCCTTGGACCCCTACTCTTCTCCATCTACACCTCCTCCCTTGGTCACTTGATAAACTCCCATGGCTTTAAGTACCATCTCTATCCTGATGACATACAAATCTATCTTTCTACCCCTCACCTCACCCCTTCAGTCTCCTCCTCACCTCACCCCTTCAGTCTCCTTTCGCATTACTACCCTACTAAGTGACATATCGGCATAGATGTCACTCCACTTCCTCAAACTCAATCTTTCCAAAACTGAGCTCTTTGTATTCCCCCCAGCCTGTGCCCCCTTCCCTGACTTCTCCATCAAGATCAATAACACAACCATCAGTCCCTCCCCTCATGCCAGGGCGCTAGGTGTAATCCTAGACTCCCATCTGTCATTTCAGCCCCAAATCCAATCACTGTCCAAATCTTGTAGACTTCACCTCCTCAACAGCTCCAAGATATGTCCGTTCTTAACCTCGGAAACCACTAAGCAACTTATTCACTCCCTTGTTATATCACGCCTCGACTATTGTAACTCCCTCCTCATTGGTCGACCTCATTGCAGGCTATCCCTTCTCTTCAGTCTATCATGAATGTTGCTGATATCCACCTTACAAACCATTTTGTATCAGCCATCCCTATCTGCCAATCCCTCCACTGGCCTCCATTCAGTGTCCTCCACCAATCCCTCCACTGGCCTCCATTCAGTGTCCTCCATCCCCCTCTGCCAATCCCTCCACTGGCCTCCATTCAGTGTCCTCCACCTCTCTTTGCCAATCCCTTCACTGTCCAAATCTTGTAGACTTCACCTCGGCAACATCTCCAACCTCCGCAACATCTCCAAGATATGGCCGTTCTTAACCTCGGAAACCACTAAGCAACTTATTCACTCCCTTGTTATATCTCGCCTTGACTATTGTAATTCCCTCCTCATTGGCCGACCTCATTGCAGGCTATCCCCTCTTCAGTCTATCATGAATGCTGCTGTCATCATCCACCTTACTAATCATTCTGTATCAGCCATCCCTATCTGCCAATCCCTCCACAGCTCTCTGCCAATCCCTCCACTGGCCTCCATTCAGTGTCCTCCACCAATCCCTCCACTGGCCTCCATTCAGTGTCCTCCATCCCCCCCTCTGCCAATCACTCCACTGGCCTCCATTCAGTATTCTCCACCCCTCTCTTCCAATCCCTCCACTGGCCTCCACCCTCTCTGCCAATCCCTCCCTCCGCTGGCCTCCACTCAGTGTCCTCCACCCCACTATGCAAATCCCGTCACTGGCTTCTCATTGCCCAATGGATACAATTCAAAAATACTAACAATAACATATAAAGCCATTTATAGCTCTGCCTGTAGTGACTTTTGGGGGATTATTTGTTAAGAAATGATTTTATTCCAAAAATTTGGAATCCCAGCTGACTGTCAGGGGTTAACATTCTTGGTTGAAATTCAAATGACCTTCTAGGAAGTTACAAAAACCAGTGAGTGGAAGAAACTTGTTTGAAAGACAATGAGACACACACTACTATTGAAATTCCTACAGGTGATCAAACAAAGTCCCAGAAAAGACAATGGGGGATCTTGATTTGGTTAGTCTAAGACCTGGCAGATATATGTTTCCTAAACAAGTGTCATGGTCTATGGAAAGCTAGGACATTTCATCTGCAGAAAACTTAATTATAAAGTCAAACACCACTATTTGGACTTCTACAGGTGAGCCAACACATCTAACCAAAAAGGACAATGATGAGATGGAAACCTGATTGTCTGAGAGCTCACACAAAACCTTGGAAAGTGTGATGAATAAACAAACTTCTTGAACTGTCACAATAGCTATTGGATACTGAGGTCAAAATATAACTGGCTGTTTACCCTAATTCCCACACAATAAACAGGTAAACAGAGAGTTTTTCCTCCTACTCATAGGAACTTAATTCCTTAAACAAAAAGGTGAAACTTAGGTCATCTAAAGCTAAAAACGTGATATATCTACCCACAGAGACATTATCAAAAGGCATATTACTAACAATTTTTATTCTAGAGAAAATATCTTTGAGAAGGTTAGGTATTGCATATTACTCAATTAAGTGTGAAATGATGATGAAGAATAAGATGATTCATGAATTGGTGTCAATTATTCATTTCCAAAAGAAATCAAATGCTTCAAAACAGTTTAAATGTCAGGGAAATGAGAAACCAAATGTATGTGTATCTTTCTATGGTCCTCTTCCAAGAGTAGTAGTACAATCGACTATACTGGAATAGGATACATATATATTTGATACCTGAAGACATGTTTATTTCAATCAAAGTATGAGTCATCATTACTACACAAATTGTTTTGTGATCCCTAGCTGCTCCCAGTGGACAGGTGAGATATATCTTTATGTACACACATTTCTCTCGACCGGCCAATCAACAAGCCTGTTGGGAGGGTCTCTTGAAACAAAGGATTGTATGGTATAAAAAGACCATACACCTCACACTTAGAAAGAGATTTTGAAAAAGGGGATCTGGAAAAAATCTAAAGAAAGCTAAGAATCTGAAGAAGCTGAAAAGATCTAAGGCAATCTACAATCTGAAACTTCTGCTAAACTTCTGAACCTCTGAACTTCTTCTACACTTCTTCTATAACACTGCAATCCAGGCTGCTATAACTTCCAACATATATCATCTATCCTATTGCTAACAACTACTGCACTCTCACTTGCTACCTGCGGCCATTTTTCTGAAGGAGTCCAGCTGCCATTTTGTCTTGAGGACCATTTGAAGGCCCAACTGCATCCCACTGGGGAGGCCTAAAAATCAAGGTTCTAGGAGTGGTGAGACTGCTAGGATATTGTATTTTATTTGATATTTCCAATTTTCCAAAGACTTATAGCATTTGTATTGTGTGTTTAGGAATATTAAGATTACATACATAATTATCACTAAAAAAAATTGTTTGATATTGAAATTATATATTGCATATTTAACTGATCAGTAGTTTGTTGTAGTGCAATTTATCAGAGATATCTTTCTTTTGTCTCTATGGCCACGAGAAATTTTGAAATAATTTCTGAAGCACTATAAGGTTACAACTTATATCTAAACCCGATTTTTCTCTCTATTTACTATAATCTATAATCATATATTGTTGGATCATATAGAAATTAGCCTGTCATATTTTTGAGTGTATGTACAAGTATACATTTATCACCCAGTCTTTTGCATTTGTATTATTATATATATATAAATTTTGTTGTACATAAATAAATAAATTTATTTATTTATTTATCAAAAAAAGGCAATTTTTGTGTATATGGTACGAAATCATACTGGCTAAAAGAACTCGAGGTATATTATTAAGTGGTGATCAAATTATTAAGGTGTCCAAATTATTGATTCATTAAACATTTGCCATATTTTAACGGCTGGAGGCACTGCAATATTTTGTTTAAGGGAGAGGACACCGCCCTACGTACTTAGAATAAATTATTACACCATGCTCATCTCCAGAGCTTCCCCCATCCTGTGGAACTCTCTACCCCAATTTATCAGACTACTGCCTACTCTGGTCACTGTTAGGCAATTTCTGAAAAACTCTCTCTTCAGGGAAGCCTATCCTGCCCTCAGCTAATAATGGAATCTTTTACTCCTCCTACCAGTCCATCCCCCACAGTTACTACCTTTTGTACCACTAGCCCCTCCCTCCTAGATTGTAAGCTCCGAGGAGCAGGGCCCTCCTATCCCTCTTGTATTAAACTGTATTGTTGCTGTATTGTCTCCCATTATATTGTAAAGCGCTGAGCTGTTGGCACCATAAATCCTGTATAATAATAATAATATTAATGAGAGATGAAATGTGGAAAGAAGGCATTGATAATGGGAGGAGATGGAACATGTAATGGGAGGAGTGGACAAGGTGGGCTTAGCTGGAGACCTCAAGCCTGGCTGATCATGTATCAATAGTCAGAAGAACCTGAAATGGACTCTCCCACTGAGGCTTCAGAGACTTGGTAAGATGACAATAGACCCCATCCTAGTCTCTGGTACTGAGGCAGTGTTGGTCATGTATTACCTCAGGATCCAGAAATGAAGAAAATGCTTGGAAACACAACTCAGTTGGTGAATCATGAAAATGCATTGCATGTTCATTCAAAGCTCCATAAAAAAAGATAAAGATGAGAATCATGAGGGAAGCTGTTCAGTTATTGATGCTTATCTTAAAAAAATTATCAAAATATAAAATATTCAAATCCCTTTTAGTTGTGTATTGATGGACATAAGCACTAAACTCAGTTCATCCGATCATTACATTCCAGTTTGCTCAGATTTTAGTTTGTTTCTTTTAAAGTAACATTTTATCTTCTCTCTTCTTCTCTAGCTTGTGGGATGACATTGGGGATGTGAAACTAACTTGTGACACCTGAAACTTCTTTAATATCCCTTTTATTCCAGAATTTAATCAATGCAGAAATTTGTGAATCCTCCGGTGATAGATTAGACCGGCATTAACTGAAAAAGTTTTGTCACATTGAGAGCATTAAAATGGCTTCTCTCCAGTGTGAATCCTCTGGTGTCTGATAAGATGTGACTTCTGTGTAAAAGCTTTATCACATTCAGAACACTGATATGACTTCTCTCCAGTGTGAATCCTCTGGTGTGTGATAAGATTTGACTTCTCAGTAAAAGCTTTATCACATTCAGAACACTGATATGGCTTCTCTCCAGTGTGAATCCTCTGGTGTCTGATAAGCTTTGACTTCTCAGTAAAAGCTTTATCACATTCAGAACACTGATATGACTTCTCTCCAGTGTGAATCCTCTGGTGTGTGATAAGATGTTGACTTCTGTAGTAAAAGTGAGAAGACTTGACTTGATCCTCTGGTGTGTAAAAGCTTTATCACATTCAGAACACTGATATGCTCTCTCCAGTGTGAATCTCTGGTGTGTGAATGACTTCTGTGTAAAAGCTTTATCACATTCAGAACACTGATAGACTTCTCTTGACTTCTGGTGTGTAAAATCTGACTTTATCACATTCAGAACACTGATATGACTTCTCTCCAGTGTGAACTCTGGTGTGTGATAAGATGTGACTTCTGTGTAAAAGCTTTATCACATTCAGAACACTGATATGACTTCTCTCCAGTGTGAATCCTCTGGTGTGTGTGATGAGATCTGTAACTTCTGAGTAAAAGCTTTATCACATTCAGAACACTGATATGGCTGATATCTCTCCAGTGTGAATCCTCTGGTGTGTGATAAATTCTGTGTGCTTTATCACATTGAACACTGAGCTTCTCTCCAGTGTGAACTTGGTGTGTGATAAGATGTGTAAAAGCTTTATCACATTCAGAACACTGATATGACTTCTCTCCAGTGTGAAATCTTTGGTGTATTATAAGGTCTCTCTTGCTTATAAAAGTTTTTCCACATTCAGAACAATGATATGGCTTCTCTCCCTTGCAAGCCTTCTGGTGTGTGATATATTTTCTCTCCATTGTAAAATCTCCAAACAAGTAGTTTGAAATGACTCCTCTTATGTATACTTGGGTTGGACTTTATTGTAAAGCCATTGTCACTTCCAGAACACTGAAATTACTTTTCTCCTGCTGGATCAATGTGGAAGAGGATCCAAACCATGACTTTTAGAACACAGATATGACTTGTATCCCGTGTGAATCCTCCAGTGAGCTGCAGTAAAGACTTTCAGTCAATTAAGACATCCATGTGTTTTATTTTCCATGTGACTCAGCTGTATTCATGAAGACCAAAATGTCCTAAAACCTGGTTCATCAATCTACCTGTAGAGAAAGAAAAAAGAATTCTATATAAAGGGCTACATAAAGTTGCTTTCTATTTTTAATGTTCATTACTAAATATATCTTATGAATAGAAAGAATATGTACAGCATTATCTACAGTATTTTTTTAATCAAATAGATTTTATTAAGAAAGTTTATAAGTGCGCACAGTATTCCCAACATTCAGCCCAGACAATGGAGTCATACATTCTCACGTATAGGCAGTTGTGCACTGTTACAGATCATACAGAACAATAACTTGCTTTGTCTATGGTGTCACTTTTACCTTTTATAAACAAATGAACAGAGAAAAGAAGAAACAACCTAGAACAATTCAGCTGTACACGGCAAGTAACTCCCCCCAGTACATACATAGATAGCTGACACCGATCAATGAGGCCCGTGTCTACAGGATCATACCCCAAGTATGGGTCTCCAATGTAGTTGGTCTCAGAGACTCCGCTCTCTCCTGCTCTCTCCTATCTATCACAGCGCTCCTTCAGTGTTACCTATAACGCTGCCACATCCCCTTCACTCCCTCTCTCTGTCGGGGTTCCTCAAGGTTCTGTCCTCGGACCCCTCCTCTTCTCCATCTACACCTCCTCCCTTGGCCAATTGATAAACTCCCACGGCTTCAACTACCATCTCTATGCCGATGACACACAAATCTATCTCTCTACCCCCCACCTCACCCCCTCAGTCTCCAATCGCATCACCAGCCTACTAAGTGACATATCGGACTGGATGTCACTCAACTTCCTCAAACTCAACCTTTCCAAAACTGAGCTTCTAGTATTCCCCCCAACCCCCCCCCCCCCCCCCCCTCCCGACTTCTCCATCAAGATCAACAACACTTTTATTATTATTATACAGTATTTATATAGCGCCAACAGTTTGCTCAGCGCTGTACATTATAATGGGAGACAGTACACGGTGGATGAGTCTGGCTGCAGAATTCAGGATAGACTGAAGCGGGGATAGCCTGTGTTGGGGTAGGCCGGTGAGGAGGGAGTTACAGTAGTCAAGTCGTGATATAATAAGGGAGTGAATGAGTTGCTTTGTAGTTTCTGGAGTTAGGAACGTGCGTATTTTGGAGATGTTGCAGGGGTGGAGTCTGTATGAATTTGTCAGCGATTGGACCTGGGGCTGGAAAGACAGATTGGAGTCTAGAATGACACCTAATACTCTGGCTTGCGGGGTGGGACTGATGGTGATGTTGTTGGTCGTGATGAAGAGGGTAGGGGGGGGGGGCACGGGCTGGGGGGAAAACTAGGAGCTAGTTTTTGGCAAGGTTTAATTTGAGGAATTGGAGTCTGATATGTCCGTCTGTCTGATATGTCGTTCAGAAGGCTAGTGATTCGGGCGGAGACTGGAGGGGGTGAGACGGGGGGGAGAGAGAGTAGATTTGAGTGTCATTGTCATAGAGATGGTAGTTGAAGCCGTGAGAGTGTATCAGTTGACCAAGGGAGGAGGTGTAGATGGAGAAGAGAAGGGGCCCGAGGACAGAACCTTGAGGGACCCCAACAGAGAGGGGGAGGTGGCAGCATTATAGGTAACACTGAAGAAGCGTTGTGATAGATAGGAAGAGAGCCAGGAGAGAGCGGAGTCTCTGAGGCCAAAAGAGTATAGTTTTTTTGAGGAGGAGGGGGTGGTTGACCGTGTCGAAAGCTGCAGAGAGGTTGAGGAGTAGTAGCACTGAGTAGTGGCCATTGGCTTTGGAGGCTAGCAGGTCATTGGTGAGTTTGAGTAGGGCGGTTTTGGTGGAGTGTAGGGGACGGAAGCCAGACTGTAGGGGATCAAGGAGTTGTTGTCGGTGAGGTGGGAACTCAGGTGATTATAGACTAAGCGTTCAAGGAGTTGGGATGTAAATGGCAGCAGGAAGATGGGTCTTAAGTTGTTTAGGTCGGTGGGATCCAGGGAGGGTTTTTAAAGTATGGGAGTGATGTGCTCATGGGGGGAGGACCGGTGATAGATAAGAGGAAAGGCTACGCTCCAATCGGAATGTACATCCTGTGTATAGGCATTCCCCATGCATTGTTCTGTGGGAGGGGATTGACCTTATTCATGAGGGGGGCGTGTGTCTGCTTGTAAATAAAAATCGGAGGCTGGGGTTGGATCTGCCTCTATGTGAATTCCAACAGCAACCTGAGAGTGTCGCCTGATCATTCCTGGGTAACCGAAACTCTATTTCCCCACATCTCAAGATAGCTAACCCAGTTGGAGGGGCAGGAATCGTGGAGTTTAGCTGCAGGTCATGGTAAGCGAGATTCGCACAGCTTTATGGGGGATTTCTACGCATCCAACTGCGAGTACTCACGGTAAGGAGAAATTCATTCAAAGCAAATTTCCAAGACAATAGAAATCCAACAGACCCAACAGTCATGACATGCATGCTGCTGATTCTGTGTCATTGAATCACTCATTGAAAGGGGCGTGTTCAATATAATAGCAGTGTGGAGTTCTATTAGTGAGGTCATTCATTCTTTGATAAACAGGTGGCAATTATTGCCCTTATTTAAGGAAGGAAGGCAGCAAATGTTGGACATGCTGGTTACAGTGCATTTCTCTCTGAAATTCTGAGGAAAATGGGTCGTTCCAGACATTGTTCAGAAGAACAGCGTACCTTGATTAAAAAGTTGATTGGAGAGGGGAAAAAACATAAAGAAGTGCAGAAAATGATCGGCTGCTCAGCTAAAATGATCACAAATGCTTTAAAATGGCAACCAAAACCTGAAAGACGCGGAAGAAAATGAAAAACTACCATTGGAATGGATAGAAGAATAGCCAAAATGGCGCGGACTCAGCCAACAATCAGCTCCAGGAAGATGAAAGAAGGTGTGACGTTCCCTGTGAGGACTGTTACAATTAGAAGACGCCTATGTGAAGCCAAGCTATCTGCAAGAAGTCCCCGCAAAGTCCCACTGTTGGGAAAAAAAAAAAAAACGTGTGATGAAGAGGTTACAATCTGCCAAAGAGAGCACATTGACCGGCCTAAAGAGAAATGGGGCAACATTTTGTGGACTGATGAAAGTAAGATTGTTCTTTTTGGGTCTAGTGGCCGGAGACAGTTTGTCAGACGACCCCCAAACACTGAATTCAAGCCACAGTACACTGTGAAGACCGTGAAGCATGGTGGTGCAAGCATCATGATATGGGGATGTTTCTCATACTACGGTGTTGGGCCTATTCATCGCATACCAGGGATCATGGATCAGTTTGATGACATCAGAATACTTGAAGAGGTCATGCTGCCTTATGCTGAAGAGGAAAAATGCCCTTGAAATGGGTGTTCCAACAAGACAATGACCCCAAACACACCAGTAAACGTGCAACATTTTGGTTCCAGACCAACAAGATGGACGTTATGGAGTGGCCAGCCCAATCCCCGGATCTTCATCCAATAGAAAACTTGTGGGGTGACATCAAAAATGCAGTTTCTGAGGCAAAACCAAGAAATAGAGAAGAACTGTGGAATGTGGTCCAATCATCCTGGGCTGGAATACCTGATCACAGGGGCCAGAAGTTGGGTGACTCCATGCAACACAGATGTACAGCAGTTCTCAGAAACAGTGCGACTACAACCAAATATTCATGAAGTCATTCAAAGGAAAGCAAAATCTTCAAACATTTTTCAGTTTATATATTTTTTTAGAGGAACAACACAAATTTGATGTATTTTTCTTCATGTTGTGATTTGGAATAGAATGTGTCGTGTTCCCAATGCATTTGTGTGGATGGAAATAAAAGCTATTAGAAGGAGGATTTTTTTAAGCTTTAGTCACTTTTTCCAACACACTGCTATTATTTTGAACACAACTGTATATGGTATGAAGTGTAAGGTGGTGGAGCTGGTAGCTGTGTATATAAAGGTGGAAATCAAACCTCTGACATGGGGGTCACATTTACATATGTTATGTGACAGTAGGCAGGTGAAATCACCTGGTTGCGTCCTGGATGGAAGATACATTTGTCCAAGGTTTAAACTATATGGCAGGGGTGGCTAACCTGTGGCTCTCCAGCTGTTGTGGAACTACATTTCCCATGAGGCATTGCAAAGATGGGAAGTTACTGACTTGCAGAGGCATGATGGAACTTGTAGTCCTGCAGCAGCTGGAGAGCCGCAGGTTGGCCACCCCTGCTATATGGGGATTTGTTCCATTAGGGGGGAAGTGCTGAGTCCTTCAGCACTGAGGTAATGAGCCCAGCTGAAGATAGTGGGCTCATTAAGGCCTTTATAAAACTTCCCAGCCTGCTTAGTGAGTTGCTCCATCCTGGAACCAGATCTGTGCCTGAACTGACTGGGGACAACATCCTATCTGTGTGCAGTGAGACAAAAGCCTGTGTGGCTAAGCCTCCAACTAACAGGGGCTAGGTATAGCATCAGGCTATACCTGGTGGATAGCTAGGGAAGCTATGTTGTACAGTAAGTATCCAAGTTGGCCAGGATTTGATGTTTTTTTTTTTTTTACGTTTTTCTGTAAATATTGTAAATAAACTGCACCTTTTTGTTTTTTTTTTCACCTCCACTGTTGTGCTGTGCCTGTGTTTTGTGTTGTGCACCCATCCAGGGGGTCACACACACACCCTGCTGCCGAGCGAACCCCGTTACAGTGTTCAAACCTTGTCATGTCTAGGAGGGAGGGGGTTGGTGTGTAAGTGGGAGGAACAAAAGTGATTGACCTGAAGATATCTAAAAAG